CTAGAAAGCATTGGCCAACCCAACTGGAGGCCATTGGCCAACCCAACTGGAGGCCATTGGTTAAACCAACTGGAAACCGTTGGCTAATCTAACTGGAAGCCCAAGGACAAAGGAATCCCCAGCTTCAGTCCACACAGGTCAACACCCCGCCTCCCCGGGGCATAGGGCAGAATGGAGAGGGGTAGGGAAGGATCTAGAGGGACAAAAGGAAGATGGGGCACACACAAGGCTAATCAAGTAGACAATACCCAGATTGCACCAATATTGCCTCAGTTTCTCAAGATGTCTTCTTCCAACTAGTCTTGTTGAAATTGGAATGCAAACATAGTCTCTTAGGTTTTCTTTGTGTCATAGTATTCTCTCCCTCCCTCCCCTATCTTCATGCCTCTGATTTGATAACAGAAACTCCATCATTTGTCCTGTAGACCATTCTGGATTTGGCTGTCTGCTTCCTGTGGTGTCTTTCATTGTCTTTCTTTCTTTCTTTCTTTCTTTCTTTCTTTCTTTCTTTCTTTCTTTTAATTTCTTGCAAATTATTAGTTAGAACTAGATTTAGGTTTTCGTATTTTGAGGCCAGAATATTGCATGTGTGGTGCTGGGTGTTTCTTGTTCCATGCCATTAGGACCCCATAATGAATGGTTGCTCCACATTATTGCTATTAAGGTTGATCAGTGGATTCAGGTGGTGTCATCTCCTCCCTTTATTATAAAGTTTTCCACTGACTTTTCACCTAAGAATTTCAGCAGCCATTCAGGCACACTGCTTCCATCCATGAATTCATTAGTGGTTGCAAGAGGGCGGTTTGCAGATTCCATTACTCCTTCTGCAATGATTTTCTGGAGTTCTTCCATCAAGAAGGACTTTTCACTCGTCAACCTGGAAATACAGTTTGCACAGGAATGACAGGATGGATAATTGATTCTTTCCCTTAATTGATCTATCTCCAGAGTAATGAGCTGGGGCCTTAGCCATCTCTAGTGGGGACCAATGAAATTTTTAAGAAAAGTATTATTATGAACTCATGGATGTTTATATCTCAGAAGTGTTTCAATCCATTGCCGTCGCCGTGCTATATTTTTAGCTTTTCATTTTGAAGTAGTCACAGACTCATGACAAATTGCAAAAATAGTGCAGAGTCTTGTGCATCCTTCATCCAGCTTCCCCCAGCCTCTCCCAATGGAACATCCTGTGTGACCATAGTACAACCTTAAAAGGAGGAAATTGATGACAGAACAATGCTGTTAACTAGACCTCAGACTCTATATTCAGATTTCATCAATCCTTACTCATTATTCTTTTTTTGGTGGTCAAACTCTCCCATTTTAGACTAGGGGGCAGGGCCTGCACTTTTAACCATAGGGAAGTTATTGCTTCATTAATTCCTGATATGCTCTTTCCTGAAGGATGCTGGGTCAGCTCTGCTGTTGGGGAAACAGATTCTGCTCTTGAGTTGTCCCCAGATGTGGCCTCCAGAGAATTTGCCCTCCCATAGCCACACAGACATGAATCCTCACGCACTGACTCACAGGTGTGCACACACTTACAGCCCGCCCAAGACAAACAGGGGAGGGCTTGTTGGTTAAGAAATCTGCAGCCTGACAAACCTGGTTCAGACCCCAGCTCTGTCACTTGCTATCTGTGTAAACTTAATCTCATGTGCCTGTTTTCTCATCTACAAAATGAAAATAATAGCATTGTTGTGAGGACTGAGTTTTTATCTGAAGAACTTTTAGAACTGTATCTGGCGTCCTATCAGTGCTCAGCAAATGTTAGCAATCATCACAAATTAGGCCCCCTCCCTCTGGTACTCTTGGTTGTTCCCTCTTCCCAGCCTCATCTCCCTGGATGGAGGAATTTCCCATTGGCCCCTTCAGGCTCTGCTCTCCGAGTCTGGCTCTAATCTTCCTCCTTCTCTCCCTTAGGACCAGCAATAAGGAGCTTCGGCATATAATGGAGGTCTCCGTAGTTTTATGGGCTTTTGCACTGACCAGCTGGATCAGTGACCGCTTGCTTTGCAGTTTCTGGCAGCAGATCAATTTCTTTTACCTGCACAGCATCTGGTAAGCACCTGCCCTGTGGTATGGGGTGCCAGAGCCAGAAAATCTCAGATAGCAGAGTTTGGAGCAGGAACCTGGGGGCAGAGAGGGGAGGCACAGATGTTGGTGTGTGTGTGTGTGTGTGTGTGTGTGTGTGTAGGGGTTGGTTGCAATCGAGGGTCTGATCCAGAATGTCCCTTTGGATGGTCAGGATCCATGAGAAGGAAGGAGAGAACCGAAGTGGGGGCATCCAGCTGGCTCTGGGGCATCTTGGCACCTCACCACCTTCTTCCTGCCCCCCACAGGCATGTACTCATCAGCATCACCTTTCCTTATGGCATGGTTACCATGGCCTTAGTGGATGCCAGGTATGAGATGCCAGGTCAAACCCTCAGAGTCCGCTACTGGCCTCGGGACACTTGGCCTGTGGGGCTGCCCTACGTGGAAGTCCGTGACTACAAGAACTGCTGATGTCTGCCAGCTTCTGGACCACCTGAGCACCTGCCAACTCACCTGTGTCTTGAAGAGGGAGTCCTGGATCAGGAGTCGAGAGATGCTCACGGTTCTTTCCTCTACCTGCCTTTCTCCGTCCTTCTTGTCCTGCATGGCTCCCCCCCCCCTCAAGACAGGGGATGGACTTCATGAGCCTTCTGTGCAGCAGTCTGATGACCGTGGGGGAGCTGCCTGGCATAGCTGCTCTTATTCTCTTTCATTTCCTCCTTTGTGTTCACTCTGTGAGGCTGGATCACCAGGTGCTGGGATTACCTGGCAGCCACTGGGAATGACTTCAGGCTGGGGCTTGGTGCCCGGGCACCTCATAAATAGTGGTGGTCACTACCACACCCTTTGGACCTGTCTTTGGCCAAGCAATGTCCCTGGTACTTGGGGGCATCCCAGAGAACAGACATGATTTCCAGTCACCTCATCTGCCCTCACTCATGCATGCAGAGACCTTGCAGGTCCTCTCACACACATGCTCCCACAGACCTCTGCTGCCATCTCACTGCTAGACAATGGAGCAACACGGAGGCCCAGACTGGGCAATCTGGCTGTTGTTGGGGCATGGGCATCAGGAGGGGAGCTGGGGTGGCCTGCATGGGCTCTCAAAGTGAGAGGAGAACAGGAAGGTGATTTCTGTGGTGGTTAAGAGCACAGGGCTTGGGGTCAGGCAGACCTAAGCTTGAATCCTGCTCCACCATTTCCTAGTTGTATAATCCGGGGGAAGTGATTTTTTTCCTACCTTTGAAGCTCAAGCACCTTGTCTGTAATATGACAATGTTTCTGCCTTCATGGGACTTCTGCGTGGATAAAACAAGATCACGTACAAAAAGTGTTTAGCCTGGAGTCTGGAAAACATCCATCCATCCATCCCTTTGTCCTTCCCTCCCTCCATCTATATTCAGCCATCCATTTATGTTCATTTACCCACCCAAATATTTTAATCATCCTTTCGTTCATCTGTGTTCCCACTCATTCATTCATTCGTCTCTTCAACAAATATATATTGAGTTCCTACTCTATGTCTGACACTACCCACTGGTGATACAAGGCAGCAAAGACATGCAATGTCCCTGCTCCGGTGAGGAGACAAGTGCTAGACAAATAAAAAGACAAACAAGGCACTTCCAGACACTAATACCTGCTGCAAAAATGATAAAGCAGGTGACGCTTTAGAGAATCATGAGGTGGGGAAGCAGCCCTTTCAAGTGGGTGCTCAGTGGGGAAGTGCAGTTTCCAGATGAACCCTCAGTGACAAGAGGACACCAGCCCTACTGAGAGCTGGCTGGGCAAGACCATTCTTGGGGAGAAGGAATGGCAGGTGTGAAACTCCCAGGGTGTGGATGAACTGGCACGACAAAAAGAACTCTCTCTCTCTCTTTTTTTTTAAATGTTCAGTTAGCCAACATATAGTACATCATTAGTTTTTGATGTAGTGTTCAACGATCAGAAAGAACACTCTTGCTGGAACTTAATAAATGAGGGAGAGTGTAGAGTAAGAGATTTGTAATCCGGGGGTCTGGGATAGGTTTAGTATCCATGGACCACTTGACATTCTTTGCTAACGAGGATTGTCTGGGCATGTTATCAAGGCCCCTGGAGTGTGTCACTCCAAAAGGAGTAGAGGCTAGCCCATCTGGCCTGTTGGAGAGATGGAGAAGTTGAAAGAGAAAGGACCGCTCATGTTTATTGAGACTACCATGTGCTATATGCCCATGACACACATAATTGAACCTAATACCCCTCCCACAACCCTTCAGATAGACATGAACATTCTCATTCTATAGAAGTGGCTCAGAGAGGGCAAGCAACTTACCCAGGACCACACAGCCTGGACTCGAACCGGGTCTGTCCTGCCCCCAAAGTTCCTTGTACCACAGTTAGTCAGCAGTAGGATCGAATCTGGGTCACAGGGCCACTGCTTCCTATCCCTTTGAATTTCTTGTTCTGGAAACTGGAGGTTCTTCACCTCTGGCCCCAAGATGGATCGTACTGGGAAGAGGGGGGCAGAGAGGGAGGGAGTTTCTGCAAACTTATAAAATTGCTTGCAAAATGTTGTCTTGGTGTTTTTTTGTGGGGAGGAGAGGAGCTCTACTTCCAAGAGATTCTCTAAGGGGGCATTTGGCACCCTGAAAGTGAAGAACCTCAGTTCAAACCTTCTGGTGGGGAGAAGGGCAGATAGAGAGGCATCTGCCTCTTGTCCCCCCTCCTACCCCACCCATGCTTCTGTCCTTAAGTACATAGCAATAATTTATCCCCACTGCCTATCTCCTGGCCCCTGCTGACCCATCCTCACAGCCTCCTCTTAGCCTCCTGGCTAAGGAGGCAACAGGTGGGTAGGAGGTCTGGATACTTGTCTTGTGTAATTGGAACTAGCCATGTGATCTTGGCAAGTCCCAGTCACCATCATGACTCTTTGTGGCAAAGGATAAAATGTTCAGTTCCAGCTGGCTGAAATGACAAAAGAACAACCAGCACATATACTTTTGAAGTTAAAGATCAAGCTGCAGATATGGCTGGATCCAGGCTTCAAGTGATGTCACCAGGGGCAGTCTCCCTCCATCCCTCTGGTCTACCTCATGGGTGGGAGGCAGCTGCCAGCAGTGCTAGGCTTTACATCCTTCCAAGTTGAAAAGTATATACCAGGGGCACCTGAGTAGATCAGTCGGTTAAGTGGCTGCCTTCGGCCCAGGTCATGATCCCAGAGTCCTGGGATCGAGTGCCATATCAGGCTCCCTGCTCAGCAGGGAGTCTGCCTCTACCCCCCTGCTCATGCTCTCTCTCTCTCTCATGCTCTCTCCCTCTCAAATAAATAAATAAATAAATAAAATCTTTTAAAAAAAAGTATATACCAAAGCTCCAAGCGCACATGCTGTGTCATTAGTCAGTAGGGAAATGTAAATCAAAGCCACGAGATACCATTTCATATCTATGAAGTTGGTCATAAGAAAAAAAACAGAAAAATAAATGTAGGAGAGAATGTGGAGAAGTTGGAACCCTTGTACATTGCTGATAGAAATGTAAATTGGTGAAAGCACTGTTGGAAACAGTTTGGCTGTCCCTCAGAAGTTAAGCATAGAATTACCATATGACCTGGCAATTCCGCTCCTAGGGATATACCCAAAAGAATTGAAAATATGTATTCTAACAAATACTTGTACAGAAATGTTCCTAGAAGCACCATTGATAAGAGTCAAAAGGTGGAAACCATATAAATGTCTATCAGTGGATGAACCGTTAAATGTGGTGTATCCATACAATGGAATATTATTCTGCTATAAAAAGGAGTGAAGCACAGACTCGTGCTACCATGTGGGACGAACCCTGAACACACGATGCTCAGTGAGAGAGCCAGAAACAAAGGGTCACACATAGTATGTGATTTCATTTCTATGAAACATCCAGAACAGGCAAATCCACAGAGACAGAAAGTGGATTCGTGAGTACCAGGGGCTGAGAGGAGGGAATGGGGAGTGACAGCTAATAGGGACGAGTTTCCTTTTCTTATGTCTTGGAACTAGATAGAGGTAGTGGTTACACAACATTGTGAATGTTCTAAATGCCACTGAATTGTACACTTTAATAGGGTTAATGGTTAATTTTATGTTATGTGAATTCCTGCACCACTAAAATTTAATAAAGCTCCCAGAGTCTCTCAGCTGGTCTTAGGTCATGCCCCACCCCACTAAACCAATTCCAGGAGTCAGAGAGATGCAATCCTTTGATTGGCCAGGTTTGGACCTATGCTTCCTTGTGCCAGTGGGGAGCCCCACTCTAACTGGGGTCTGAGAGGGGTGGGGGATAAGTGGGGGTTGGGAGTTGAAGTCCTCCTTCAAGCCTTGTGCCCTGTCATGAGTTGGCATTCTCCCGGAAGGGCTGCTATTTTAAAATTCATACAAAGGGGACTTACAGGCTCATATTGGCCCTGGGAGGAGTACCAGGATCGGGGATTGTTTCACAGAGAAACGGCAAATGTCCGGTGTGCTGCCCTCTTCTGGGGAAATGCTTTGTTGCACATATTTTTGGTCGGTTCCCAAACCATTCAGGGTTCCCTATTGCCCATGAGATAAGGGGCAAATGCTTCAATGTGCCATTCAAGATCTGCTCTGCGCTGAGGTTAATCTAGGGTGGGACTCCAACTGGCCACTGGGCTCTGCTCCAGTTTGGTCATATTCAGTATTGCTATGTATGGTTGTGTGTGCATTTGTGGCTGGCAAGAAACTGGCAGGTACAGGGAACATGCTCCAGATCAGAAAGAAGATTCCCCCCAAATTTTGATGGGCTGAACCATCTACAAGGTGAAAGGTAGGGGGGGAAGAGTGCTAAGCCCTACGCGTGGGTGCAAATAAACTGGACCACTAGGGGGCGATAGAGACCTAATGTAGTAGCAGTTCAGCCCCGGGGCGGGGGCAAGCCAGACTCCCTAAGTTCAAAATGTTACTTTCTAGCTGTGGGAGTTGGGCCACCACTTATAGTCTCTCTGTATCTCAATTTCATTGCTTGTAACATTGAGATAACGTGTATCATGCATTTTGCCAAGTGCTCAAATTACTATTTACTTTGTCTTTCTTTAAATCTACTCCCTTTGCTCACACTGCTGTTTAAATAGGAAACATTGTGTCACTTTAAGAAGTCATTTGTTATAGATAAAAAACAACCAGAAAACTAGATACAGTAACAACAAAAAGTGTTATTAACTGCAGCTCAGTAATCCTGAACCCAGTCTGCACATTAGAATCCCCAGCTGAATTTAAACGAAAGTGTGTGTGCCTGTGCGTGTGTGTACGTGGATGTGTGTATGGGGTTAGGTGTCTCTGTCTTACTCCAGACTAATGAGACCTGAATCTCTGAAGGTGGGATTTTTCTTAAGGCTCCTGGCACTGGTATTTTTTACAGATTATCAGGAGATTTCAAAGTCCAGGCACCAGATATGATCACCTATCCCAGGCTCTGAATTCTAGGTCTGTTCTCTTGTCATTAAGGTAGATTAGAGAATGACAGGGAAGAGTTTAAAACACATGAGCACCAAGCCAAGACTTTCCTCCTGAAGGAGTTAGAAAGACTGAAGAGAAATGAAAAGGAACCAACCTTCTCTTTCATGATTCATTATTATTTCATTTCATGCAACAACTATTTATTGAGCATCTACTTTGCAGCAGGCACTGTTCTCAGGATACATCAGTGAACAAAACAAAGATCCCGGCCCTCTTGGAGTTTCCATTCCATTTAGGGGAGATAGACAATGGACTTAATAGTAAATATGTGTATATTAGGAAGTGATAAGGGATGCCTGGGTGGCTCAGTCGGCTGGGCATCTGCCTTCAGCTCGGGTCATGATCCCTGGGTTCCTGGGATCGAGTCCCACATCGGGCTTCTTGCTTAGTGGGGAGCCTGCTTCTCCCTCTGCCTGCCACTACCCCTGCTTGTACATGTTCACTCACTCTCTCTCTCTCTCCCTCACAAATGAATAAATAAAATCTTTATTTAAAAAAGGGGGTGATAAATGCTGTGGATAAAGGAAAAATTAGAGCAGGGTCACAAGGGTTGGGGAGCTATGGTGCGGGGACAGAATTAGATGGGATGGTCATGGTAGGCCTCATCAAGAAGTTTCCTGGCTTTGCCATATACGCATCATGCAACTTTGGGCTAACTCACTCACCTCCGAGCCTCAGTTTTCTCATCTGTAAAATGGGGCCAACAACACTTACCTCATAGTATTGTGAGGATGAAATGAGATAGTATGAGTTTGCACATAACAGGTGTTGGCTATGAGAAAATGGGGCAGCCCTCTGTTGACCTCCTGAAGGAAGGAATACAGTGGTTCTATTTTAAGCACAGGATGTGTTTTTAAAATTTTTGCTTTTTATTATAGAAATTTACACACACAGATATAAAGTATAAAGAATAGTTTGAGGAACAGTTTGACATATCCATCACCTAGATTCAACAATGTTTAACATTTGCCATTTTTGCTTCTATTTGGCATCTAATTTTTAATTAATATATTTTATTTTTTTAAAGATTTATCTATCTATTTATTTATTTGACAGAGAGAGAGAGAGCACACAAGCAGGGGGAGTGACAGGCAGAGGGAGAGGGAGAGGGAGAGGCAGGCTCACCACTGAGCAGGGACCCAGGACCCTGGGATCATGACCTGAGCCAAAGGCAGACGCTTAACCCACTGAGCCACCCAGGCGCCCCTTATTAATGTATTTAGAAGGCAATTAGTACTGGCCGGCATTTATGCAGCCACAATGTATAAGTCCTTCTAAACCAAACCCATGCATCTCTAAAACAGTAAGGACACTTTACTACACAACCATAGTCTCATGATCGCAACTAACCAAATACATTTTCAAATATCAGTTGCTATTATCCATGTTCCTATTTCCCCAGTTGACACAGCTAGTTTGTTCAAAACCCAAGGTCCAGTGACAGATGCCCACATTGCAGTTCATTGTGAGGCCACCTCCTGTACCTCCGGGCAGTCACCTTTTCTCTCATTCCCTCCTGTTGACGCAAAGAAGCCAGGCTGTTGAGATTCCACCTTCTAGATTGGTCTGACTGCTTCACATGATGTCATCTCTCATGCTCCTCTGTATTCATGTGTTTCTGCTGTGAACTGGAAGTTAGGACATTAGGGGTGATCAGATGCAGGGTTAAACTTTTGGGCAAGAACTTTCCTTTTGGTGCTGTGTACTTCTCATCACTCCTGGCAGGAGTCCATCATTCTGCTTGTCCCGCTGCTTTGCTGCTAAGAGTGGTCACTGTACCAAGGTGGTGACAGCATGATGTTTCCGTGGCAGAGTTACTTTTTTCCTCTTCGCATTTAGCAGACAATCTGAGGGAAGATCTGTGGCGAACATGAGACTTTCCAGTCCCCTGTAACCTTTCAGGGAATGGTTTTAGCCTCCATAGATGACTCTTGTCCGCAATGGTTGTTTAATTAGTGGTTTGAAAATAGTGATTTTGCTATCATCCTTCCAACATTATCAGCTGGTGTTTTTCTGTGAAAAGGACTTTCCCTCATCAACTGAGCTCTTTCATGCTGTAAAGGCATGGTAAGTCAGGAGTTGATGTAGTTGGCACTTTCGAAAGTGATGAATGAGCTATGCTGTTGTCTTGATATTATTATGGACTCGTGGATATTTATATGTTCGCAGTGTCAAGAAATCCATTAATTTTTTAATGTGGTAAAAATATACATAACAAAATTTATGATCATAACCACTTTCAGTGCATAGCTCAGTGGCATGAGGCACACTCACATCGTTGTGCAACCACGCCCACCCTCCATCTCCAGAACTTTCCATCTCTCCTAAACTGAGACTCTGTCCCCAGGAAACACTGACTCCCCACCCACTTCCCTAGCCCTGGCTCCCGCCCTCTCCTCTCTTTCTCTGTGAATGGGACTCCTCTAGGGATCTTCTATGAGTGGAATCACATAGGATGTGTCCTTTTGTGTCTGGCTTATTCCACTGAGCATAAGGTCTTCCACATTGTAGCAGGTGTCCTTCCTTTTTAAGGCTAAATATATTCCACTGCATGGATGGATCCCATTTTGTTTGTCCATTCAACTGTTGATGGACACTTGGGTTGTTTTCCCATTATTTTTTCCGATTCTCAAAGGGTTATGCTTGATTTAGTGGGAGCCCTGGGGATATAGTTTTGAAAACCCTCCACAGTTCAGAATCTAACTGAAGGAGCATTTCCCAGATGAGTAAGGGGGAGGTGGCTGAGTTCCTGAAGCTCTTCCTTGCAACAACTGTAGCCTGAAGGTTTTTCACTGCAAGCTTCCTTTAGAGACAAATGGCTAACCCCCCAATTTTTGTCCCTTTACCTGGGGTGGTGGTTCTGAAATTTGAGTAAGTTTCACTATCATCTGCAGGGCTAGTTCAACCATCCCTCTGGGTGCAGGCCACGCATCCAGAGTTTCTGATTCTGTAAATCAAGGGAGACCAGAATTTGCATTTTGAATAAAGTTCCCAGGGGATGCCAAACCTGCTGTTTCGAGGACCACTTAGAGCTACTGATCCACTTACATCCAGCTATAGGATTAAAAAAAAAGTTGTACACACATTAAAGTTGCTGCTTATTTTCTCAGCATGTCCTTCATTTCTTCCCCCCAGCACACCCAGCCCCAAAAGGTACAGTATTACTATGACAGCATTTGGCCTTCTTCAGAGTTTTACATGGAATTATGTTCATTCCAAAGTTAACTGATTTCCTGGTGCTGTTCTTCAGAGCAAAGTAGTGCCCTGATTACCTAAAGAATACTTGGCCGACACTTAAATGTGAAGGGGAGGGCAAGAAAACCCCAAGCAAACCAAAAGCCCTGGTTTATTATAAGAAGAAATTTAAAATAACTGTACAGGGGCGCCTGGGTGGCTTAGTTGGTTAAGTGTCTGCCTTCAGCTCAGGTCATGATCCCAAGGTCCTGGGATGGAGCTCGGAGTCAAGCTCCCTTCTCAGGGAGGAGCCTGCTTCTCCCTCTCCTCCCCACTTGTGCTTCCTGTTGCTCTCTGCCTCTCTCTCAAACAAATACATAAAATCTTTAAAAAACAAAATAACTGTACAAGGGTCCCCAAGTTGCAGGCAGAAGTCCTATTGTCCGAGAGACAAGTGGCTTGCCAGATCCTAAAAAAGATGGAACGATATGTCTCTATCTCATCTAAACGAAGTTTAGAAATTGTGAAATTACATGATCATGGGTAAATTAAGAAACGGTTTTAGAGGGATTAGCAAGATAAATTTCACGGATAAAATGAGACTTTCTTGATCATTTTAATGGAGAAGACTTCAAATGTGTCTGATTCAAGTTAATATGAACTAGCATTACAAGGTACTGAGTGTTCCCATTTCACAGATGCGCAAACTGAGACTCAGGGGGAGAGGTGAGTCGACCAGGCTTTCCCTGATGCAGATCCAGCTCCGGAAAATTAATTTCCAGTTCCAGAGCCCAGAGCCCATTCCATGACACGGTAGCAACACGTGGCCAGGAAACAAAAGTGTTCCTAGGGCTCCCTCCCCAGAGCTCGAACCGCCACCTCAGCCGGACCAGGTTAGGCTCAGGCCGGGGGAAGCTCCGGCCACGAGGCAGCGCCCCCTGCGGGCCGCAGTGCGCAGGCGCGGCACGCCCGTCCCGCCCCCGCCCCCCTCCACGTGCGGCGCACACCTCGCGCTCCCCTCTGCTGGGCTCGCCTCGCGCCTCCCTCCCTCCCTCCCACCGCCCCTCCGGTTCGGGCTTCCCATTGGCTGGGGGCTTCGTCCCTCCGACCGCAGCCCGGCAGGCCCCCGCCAGGCAGGAAGTCCCGCCCCAGGAGCGGCCGTCCGCGCCGCAGATTAGCCCAGGCGGCTGTCAGTCGGGGCGGCAGGCCAGAGTCGGCGGCGGGGGCCCGCGGTCGGTGCGCGACCCGGACTGGCGGTGGTTTCCGGTTCCGCGGGGCTGGCGGGCGGGCGGGCAGCCGGGAGCGGCGGCGGCGGCGGCGCCTGACAGACAATGAGGGCGGCGGGGCGGCGCTGAGCGGCGGCGGCGGCGAGCGACGCGGGGCCCGGGGGCGGGGCGGGGCGCCAGCCATGGACAATCAGGTGAGGAGCGGCCGCGCCGCCCCAGCGCAGCCCGCCGCCCGCCCGGTCCCCTCCCTCCCTCCCACGACCCGCCCGCCGGGCCCTCCTGGGTCCCGGCCTCCCCGCCCACGCTCAGCTCCCGCCCGCCCCGCTTTGTGCTCGCCCGCCGCTCCCCCGGCCTTTATGTGGGGCGGGGGCGCCCCTCCCCCATCCGCGACCCCGGCCCGGCCGGAGCGCCTCGGACTTCTCTGGGGACCCCCGCCTGGCCCGGCGCAGAGCCCCCTGAGACACCTCCCGGAGCCGCAGCCCGGCCCGGACCCCCCGGGATGCCGCTTGTGATCCCAGTCCAGCCCAGAGCCTTCTGGGACACTCCTCGGGACCCTGGCCCAGGCCAGAGGCTCCACAGGCGGCTCAGACTCCCCTGGGACTCCCCCTGAGACTCCCGTGCAGCCCAGCACCCTCTGGGACGCTCCTCGGGCCCCTGAACCAGCCTAGAGCCCCCACAGCTGGCCTGGAAACCCCTGCGGTGCCCTTTGGGACCCCAGTGCGGCCCGGAACCCCTTGGACCCCAGCCCACTCCAGAGTCCCCGCAGGCACCCCAGGGAACTCTGGCCCCGTCCAGAGAGTCCCACAGCTGCCCCTGTGGGGGGTGAAGGGACCCCTCAGATTTGTCAGATCTGGGCTGTACCACCCTTCTTTGGCTCTAGGGCCTGTCGCCTCCTCTCTCCGGACCCTTGGCCCAGAGTCCCCTCAAACTAAGTGAGCCCGCAGCCTGTTGCTGCTTTTTCCTTAAACCGGTTGCTGGGGTTTGAGTCCCCCCCCCACCAGCCTCCCCATCCCCAGCCCCCCCAGAATCCCTGGGACCTTGGTGCAGCCTCCCGCTTCCTCAAACCTAGGCCCACCCTAAGCCTTCTTCTCCCTCCTTCTCTTCCAGGACCGAGCCTTCTCTCACCCTTGATCTTGCCACTGCCTTAGCCTAGGTGACCATTTCCCCTTGAACTCTGGCTGGGGCCTGGGTTTTTCCCACAAGGACCCAGGCCTGAGTTGAGCTCACCCCCTCATCCCCACTTTGGACTTGGGCTTGCTTCCTCAGACACTTTTGACCTCCCCGCCCCTTGCTTCCTCAGCTCCCTCTGGTTTCAGGCCCTGGTCAGTCCCTCGGCCCCTGGTGCCTGAAGGGCTCTCTAACCTTCAGACCTTTCACACCAGGCCCAGGGGCATTTTATGCTCTGACCTGGAGCCCCTAAGCCCTTCAGACACCAGATACCTCACTTCCCTCAGCTTGGGTCCTCTTTGCCCCTGCAGCCCTGACTTAACACTTCCCCACACTCTCCCCCAGTCCAGATCTCAGTCTGCCTCTTTCACCCTCAGCTGGCTTCCCTTTGCAGACCTGCAATCCCTCCCCCCCCCCCCCCCCGAACCTCTCTCCTTGCATTCAGGGTCTCCCACTTCCTCCCAACATCCCACAGCCTGACGTTTTGGCTTTCAGCCACTGTCCTCTCCCCCCAGCACACCCCATATCCCTGCCTTCCCCAGCATCTTAGGGCCTTGCTCCAAACTCAGGGTGGTTCCCCAACCTCCATAAACTCTCCCCATGGCCCCTTTCCCTCCGTCCGGAAACCCGGAGTCAAACTCTGTCAGCTTAAGTAAACCTGAGGCCTTTCAGGCCCTGGGCCCGTTTTCACCAGCTCTGCGCGGTCTCCTCTTCAATACCCATGCCCCTTCCTCTCTCAAGCCTAGGACTGTTGTAGTCCCCAGCATGGGGTCATTTATTTCTTCATCCTTGCCCACTGCCCCTGGCTTCCAGGGGCGCGAGGCCAGGAAAGGCGGTGGTGTGGGGCTATGGGGGTGGCAGCTGAAATCTGCAGTTAGGGCAGGTTGGGGCCTCCCTGGCTGCTGGCGCCACTGAGGCGGCTCTGTCTGGTAAGGCACTGTGTGGCTGTGAGGTCTCAGGGGCGCGTGGGCAGGAGACCTCCTGTCTTGCCCATCCCGGTCACCTGTGGTGGTACAGGATCATTGTGGCCTTTCTCTTGAGAGGTGGGGTAGAGTTTATAGCTGTTCAATGATGGATTTCTGTAGCGTGGTGTGAGTTCACTTCTCTTGAAGGGACAGAGCTTGTTGCCTCCAGCCTGCACTGAGTTAAAAAACAAAAGAGAATATACCTTCAGTGTCTACTCTCAGTGAAGCCCCCCTCCGTGGGAAAGTCTTGTTGGGTACCACGCAGGCATAGAATGTGGCTCCCACCTGTCACCCCACCTGCTAGTCCCCCAGGGAGGTATCTTCAGCCCAAATGTGTCCATTCCCCTGTGATTTGCCAGGACCTGGCCGTATGGGTTGTTGTCATTTATGTAAGTGGAATGGTGGGGATAGGTGGCATTCTTGGCCGTGACAGAGGGAGAGAACAGTCTTGCTTGAGTGGACTGGTGATCACACTTGGGCTGGGAGAGAGAGATCTCCACTGCCTGGTGTGCGGCCGCTAGCACCTGTGACTGTTTACATTCAGATGCACCAGAGCGAAAGAGGCAGTTTCTCAGTGGCCCTAGCCCCAGTTTAAGTGCCCGTTAACCACCACTACTGAGCTGCTGGCCACCTTAATGGGCAGCTCAGAGAGACAACAGTTCCATCATGGCAGAAAGTTCCATGGGGCAGTGCTAGTCTAGATCCTTACAGAAGTATTCGCAAGTGAAACTGACCCCAAAGGAAAGTATGTGGCATTCCATAGTCTGAATCTCTATTCCTGGCTGCATCTCTGCCAATCTGGGAGAGGCCAGGAGCTCTGTCCCTTTCTCACAGAGATGGCAGTCCCTGGGAAGACAGGAGAGAATGGTGTCCTTTACCCAAGTGAGTGAGTTGGCTACGAGTGTGCAGGAATGACTTTGGTGCGTGGAAAACGCTTTTAATTCACTAGAATCTCGGCTTTCCCTTTCTCCCTTGAGTTGCCCCAAACCTGTACATGGCTCAGCCTGATGGGAAACAACAGGACTTTTCCCTAAGGGCCCCTTACCCTGCTTGCTTTGGGAGGGTTTGATTCTCTTTACCTTCCTGCCTTAGTCTCTAGAACTTTCAGGCTCAGCTAAGAAGGGGGATTCTGCATTTTGCTCTGGGCTCCCAACTTCTCAGCATTGAAATCCTTACCCCATGGCCAGGAAAAGTCTTTCTGATTCCCTTTGCCCTGACTTTAACCCATCTAACCCAACCCCCAGTCCAGACTCACAGGTCCATTGTGGGTTTTGTATTTTGGGGGGTCATGGCCAGGAGGCATGGGTGGTGTGGAAGGATGGCATGGGTGCAGATGGAGCAGATGGTGAGAACATGGAGGAAGGAGAATGGGGACAGTGTCTGCGGGCACTGGGGGGGCCTTGGGAGCCAGGGGTGGTGTCAGCATCTGGATGGTCCTGTTCTCTGAAGGGACCAGGGAGTCCTCCCTTCACAGAAGCCCTGGGCCTGGCACCTGAGATGGGTGGCCGACCCATTGAATCACACAGTTGAAATGATACTTGCTGATTCTGCCAAGTTCAGGTGTGAGATCCCACTGCTGTTGACCATCCTCTGTTCCAGAAGAGGAGGTTTGTTTCTGACAGCGATGGCCCAGTTTACAGATACGGAAATGGAGGCTCAGGAGGGTCCCGAGAGGAGTCAGGACCAGGTGGGATTCCTAGGGAACTGTGTCCTTTTCCCAAACCCTGGGGAGAAAGGCTCAGACTTGCACAGAGCACTAACTTCAGGGTGACGGGATTCTCCCCTACCCAGGTCTGAGACCATCACTGGAAAGTTGACCTGCTGAGTAGTTTGTCCTAAAGTTACTATGTTGTATAGTACTTGAGGTAGGAACCAGAATCTTCTTCACCTTTATGACCATCATAGTTCCTTTCTTTCCTTTTTTTTTTTTTTTTTTTAAGCCTTACGTATTTTAGAGAGAGCATGAGAGTGAGTGAACTGGTGGGGAGGAGCAGAGGGAGAGAGAATCTCAAGCAGACTCCCCACTGAGCATGGAGCCTGATTTGGGGCTCGGTCCCATGACCCTGAGATCATGATCTAAGCTGAAATCAAGAGTCAGACACTGAACCGACTGAGCCACCCCGGCGCCCTGTATCCATCATAGTTTCTAACTCAAAGTTTTGCATTTAGCTTTGCCAACTGTTGGTTGAATAAAAGTAACTAGGAATCAGTCACTTTGTAACCAGGCCCACCTGGCATGCAGACGGATGCCTTGATTAGCGTTGTGCTCCTTCAGAAATCTCCCAGTGCTGCTTCCTGGAGAACTTTGGTGATAGCCAGTACACCATCTCCACGTCTGTGGGTGTGAATGTCAATGCATGTATGTAGTATAAACCCCGTCCAAGCCTTCCTGGCCAGCTGGTAAGGGTCAGTCTTCCTGGGAACCTGCAAACTAAGGATTGGGGGTGTCATCACATCTCCTCATGGTCTGCACACTTATCCTTAGTTTTCAGGGAGACATTCACCGAGCCCCTTCTTGTCCCTTTGTCATTAACCTTATGCCCTGGGCCAAAGGGACGAGGCCAGACGAGCACAGGTGCGGCGCCCCCCCCCCCCCGTGTGTCACTGGTTAGAAGACCAAGGCGTTGTGCAGGGGTTGTGAGAGGTCCCTTGGCTCTGTCCCTACCTCTGGGTGGGCAGTCTTTTGCTTGAGAGGATTGTCACTGAGGGATATCCATCATGTTCCCATCTTTCTCATGTTCTGATCCAGTGACTGCTCTTGAGAGCCTCCAGCTGGGTCTGGCGGGGAGAAAGTTCTGCAAAGAGTGTTTTATTTGGTCTTGTGTTGCTATCGCTCTGTGGGACCAGCACCTTCTCCCACTTCTGTACATGTGGACTATGTTGCCAGCAGCCGTGCCAGACCCAGTTGGACTTGGCACGGTCAATCTAGGCTGCTGAGGGGAAAAGGCTCTTCGGTGTTCTCTCTTCCTGGGAGGGGAGGGAATTGTTGTATCTGAGGGAATTGGATACAGTAGCCGAACTCCAGGCATAATTATACCACTTGGTAAAGTATGAATTCCCAGGGGAAAGGGCATCTGTTGAAGAGAATTCCCACGAGGAAATCAGGGGAACTCTTACAGATAAACTCGTTAAAGACCTGCCTTTGGGGGCCCAGGCCGAGGGCAGGGTTCATGGGACGCGGGAAGAATCCAATGAGGAAAGGCCTTAGAAGCAGCGGAGCTGTTGGAAGGAGGCTGGCTCACTATGAGTCCACACTTGGGGGGATCTCTACTGTTTAGTGAAGAGGTGTCCTCCAGGGTCTATTTGCCTGGCTTGCAGGATTTAGGATTACCACCCTTGGGTTCCAGTTGATCTGGCGAGAGCAGTGCATGGCTGAAGGCCCTCAGCCCAAGCCTAACTGTCTCCGATCACCCTCAGAGCCCTGGAGCTGCTCCATCTCCATCTGAGGGTCTTCCAGATGATATCCCAGAAGTAAAATAGTGAACTCTTTCCGGGGCAGGTGTGGAATGTTCCCCCTTTGTTCCCAGCTTTTGTGGGGGGAGTGGGTGGCCAAGTGGTTCCCAGGGTCCTGGGACATGGCAGGCACTGAGGCCAGGTCACTGGGGCTACTTCCAGCCACCCACTTGGAGGTTGAGCAGAGTGCCTCCAAGCAGCAGGCGGGACAAGTGAGATGCATTCCTTCCGAGACAGTTGAGAGCTTAACTAACTGGCAGTTAACCTCTTTATAAAGCCAGGCACCCTTCGTGGAGAAACAGCTAACTGATTCACCTCAATTTCTTGGTTCTGCTGCATGGGGAAGGAGTCCAGGTGGAGTAAGGGAGGAGGGGGGCAGAACCCTTGAAGGTGGAATTGGCTTAGTTGTGCTAATAAATTATCATGACTTGACAAGTCAGAGTAGCTGGGGAGGGCTCAGTTTTTCTCCTGTCTCCAGCTCAGGTAGCTTGTATGTCTTACTGAATCAGTGATTTCTTTTCTAAGATAGTGGGCTCAGAATCCGTGTGACTCCACCATCTTTATTTCTTGAAAGATTCCAGCATTCGGAGGGGGGGCATTCCTCTTGTTAGTGCACCAGCGTACGCTGTCTTCGGCCCCTCAAGGCGGGGCGGCAGGGCGGGGGGGGGGGGTGTCCAGGCTGAGTTGGCGCCAGCCCGGGGGGCATAGATGCTGCCCGGGCAGAGCTTTCGGCATGGTCTGCCAGCTGCAGAGATCACCCAGCACCGCTTCACAACCTTCCTGTTTACTTTGGCCTCTGGGACGGTTTCTTGGCGCTTCGTTCTCCCTCTCTGATGGAACTGTGGTCTTCCATTCTTTCACAATAACTGCCCTGCCCCTGGTGTGCCCTGGGTAGGAGCCCCAGCTAATCAGAACTGCTGAGAAGGCAGCCGGCTTGGTGAATAGCCGACTCTGAGGAGACCTCTCAGGACATGGGAATTAACCCCCAAGAACCAAAAGTCAGAGTCGTCTGCCGGCGTATGGTTATGATCATATGTAGTTAGTTCACCTGTAACCCTCCCAGCAGTCCAGGGAGCATCTCCCGATTTCTCAGTGTGAAGGCAGAGTTTCTGTCCTGTGTGTAGGGGCATCTGGGGGTTCCTGTCCACTCGGGGTAATGTAAATACTGGTTGGGCTCATTTATGGTGAACATGGACCATATGCAGTGCTCTGCACATGGAGGCTTGGGTTGATTTGAGCATTACCTGTTTATCCAGACGTTTGCTCCCTCGTCTCTAGCTTTTCGTGTGGTGTTTCCCCCTTGCGTATCCCGTCGCCTGTCTCCCTCCCCACACCCCACCACCACATGGCATCGGCAGCATCCCAGTGCCCTGGGTCTTGGGTTTGAGCTTCCTTGTCTCTCTTCTATCCGGTCTTTTTTTTTTTTTTTTTTTTTTTTTAAGGGGGGAGCTCGAACTCACGGCTCTGAGATCAAGAGCCGCATGCTGTACGGACTGAGCCACTCAGGCGCCCCTCCATCCACTCTCAAGTCCTGCCAGTTCTCCCGTTTCAGACTCTGCTAAATCTCCTTTTCCAGCCACTCCCTCTGGTTGCCTCCTAGCAGGCTTGTTGTTTGTCTGTCTGTCCTTTTCTGCCTTCAGCCTAAACTGTACACAATTGCCGGGGAATTTTGACTCAGATACTGTTTCCTTGCATCCATCATCTCCTTACAATTGGCTGTCAGTTCTGCTGTGGGGAATCTAAATGCTCCATCCCAACCCCCACCTGGCCCTCCAGTGGCCCCGGACCCAGCGAACCCCTGCTCTTTTCCCCGTGGAGCCCCACAGTGACTGCGATCCCGTGCTGGGGGACCTCCTACTCTGTGGTTTACAGTTGGCTCGCCAAGTGCGCAGAGCCTCCCACTAGCTCTCCCATACACTGGGAACCCCTGTCTTATCAGTGTCCTTATTGGCCCTTCCCTCTTGGAAATCACCACTTAGAATTTGCTGATCTAGGAAGGCTCTCTAGTTTAAATTATCTCGTATTATTGATGCCTCGTATATGGTGGTTCCAAGACGGAAGTAAAGGATGAGCTAGATGTGGTCCCTGAGGAGGCAGCAGTGAGCAGCCAAGGAGCAGGGCCGGGGGGGGGGGGGGGGGGGGATGAAGTGGGTGCAGTACCCAGACGGCCGCGGAGCCTCTAAGGCATGCCACCAGCTTGGGGACAGCTCATGTGTTTGTGTGTGCACGCGTGCCCATACCTCAACACATAAAACCTACACGTGGATGGCAAGACACACTCTGACTTCAGAAAGCTTGAAAAGTGAAAAACGATGAGCATCTTGGACTTGAGGAAACACATAGGTGGGAGGCAGGAGGTGTGTTGACTTTATTCTGAGGGAGTGGCAAGCCACTGAAAGCTGCACTGGCAGAACGATCATTTGTGTCTGTCCTGCTTTCCTGTCAGTGACCGAGAGGGCGAGGGAGGGAGGGAGGGCGCTGGTGTGGCGATCTGCTCCTTGGGGTGCGGGGGCTGGGAATCATAGAAGAGGCAGGAGGACACACAAGGTCGGCTGGGGAGAAAGGGGTTCCAAAGTACAGAGCAGGAGGTCTCTGGTGGGTGGCAGGGAGGGTGGTTCCCTGGAGGGGGGCGCGGGGGCTGAGGGGGACTTTGCTGGGTAAGTGTGGGTTGCACGCCACCTAGTAACGTGCTCTTGGCTGCCTCAGCACTTAGGAACAAGTGTCCACTTGGCCTCTGCTTTCTTTGTGGCATTCTTGCATTTGATACTAGGTGTCAGGCTTTATGAGAAGCCTGGGGAGGATCTTACAGACCAGAGTGGATGTTTACAGTGGGTTCCCTTTCAGTGGTTTTGGCCCACCTAGGCGTAAACGTTTTGTGGCTTTGTGTTCAGTGGAGTGGAGCTGGCACGAGCTCCCTCACGTTTCAGGCACAGAGTCGTCCCCCACGTGGCTTCATCCTGGCCCCTCCATTTGCACTGTGAACCACTATTCTGCCCTTAAAACTGAAAGCCAGTGTTTGTGTGGACTCAGGTGACCCCAAGGGCCTCTGTTCTCCAGAGGCATCCCACGGGGCAGAGGAGAGGGAACACGCTTTCATCAAGGAGCTTGGGTGACTTGACCAGGGAGGCCAGATGGCAGAGGGGGACACACCTGTGCTTGAATCCGGGCCCTGCTCCCTACCAGCTGACGGTGTGCTGCTTAGCAGCTCGATCCTGGGGCCTTGGTTTCCTCATCTGTAAAATGAAGGAACTGCACTGGTCACACTGGGAGATGTATTCAGAGAGCTCTTGGTGAGGATTCCAGCTCAGGACAAGGAGCCACCCCCAAGAGTCAGACATCCAGGCAGGGCCAACAACAGATTGTGAGCCGATGAGTTCCAGAAGTGACAGATGCTAAGAATATAGGACGTGACACAGAGTGACCGGGGTGGTGGTGGGTGCCTTCAGATTGCGTGGCCAGGGGGTCTTCCTGGAGGAGGTGACACTCAAGCCGAGACTTCAGTGACAGGAAGGAGCCAGCCTTGGGAAGGCCTAGGGAAAGAGCACCTGAGACAGGGAGCCCCAGGTGCAGAGACCCCGAGATAGGAGTGAGCAGGGCTCGTTGGAGGAACAGTGAGGAGGCTGGCTGAGACGGTGGGTGGGGATGAGGGCAGGAAACAGCAGGGCCTGCAGCGGGCCTGCCGAGCAGCTCACGTGGTGCCTCGTCCACTGTAAGGCTCTTTGTGCCCTCGTTGTGAGTTGAGAATCCCGTGGCAGTGCTCAAGAGTCTTGTCTCTTCCTGTGGCCAGCGTTCACCATGCTCTGTAGACGATAGGGTGGGAAGGCTTGCGGTCCTCTGCTCTGGGCTTTTCACTGACCTGCGCCGGCGTCTTTCTCCCTCCAGTGCACTGTCCAGGTCAAGTTAGAGCTGGGACACCGCGCCCAACTGCGCAAGAAGCCCACCACAGAGGGGTTCACCCACGATTGGATGGTGTTTGTCCGTGGCCCTGAGCAATGTGAAATCCAGCACTTCGTGGAGAAAGTGGTCTTCCGGCTGCACGACAGCTTCCCCAAGCCCAAGCGTGGTGAGTGCCTCCAGCCTGGTGGGGCAGCCCTGCAGGGACCGTCGGTTGTGACATAACCCTTGTGTCATCACTCCTTGAAAGGCTTGTTTCCTCCCTCTCCTCGGGAGCAACGGGGTCCACACTCTGAGCTTCTGGCTTGCACCCCCCTCCATGCTGGAGGGAAGGTCCCCAGCCAGGATGCGGCCCTTTCTGACTTTAAAATAAAATGGTCCTGCTCCCTCCTCTCCGCTTGTCCTTCAGCTCATGAGATCACGGTAGGGAAAACCCAAAGGAGGTGGTGACTGTGTCTTGTATCATTGTTTAGACCTGGGCTCTGAGAAGCATGCAGAGAACGTAGCCAGTGGCCATTGGGTGGGAAGGGCGACTTACTCCCACCTGGTGAGTAATCAGGAAATTGCTTATTGGGCCTACATTTGATGAGAGATGCCATTTTAAGAATTCGTGATATTTGGGGCAAAAAGCATAAAGGTTCTCATTTCACCGCTGTCTTGTTTTGTGTGTCTTCCTTCCCTGCTCCACCCCCCACACTGCTGTTTGTGGAGAAGGAAGCACCTCATTCATGTATTCTGCACAGATCTCGATCACCTGTGGCCCAGTAGTCTGAGGGGGCTGAGAGATGGGAACTCACCCAGGTTGGGGGGGTGGCGGTGTCAGAGAACACTGCCTAGGGAATTTGGGTTGAAGTTGGGGACCGTCTCCTTAGCTCTGTGGGCCCGGTGCCATGTCTGCTTTTCTCATCATTGAGTCCCCCCCCCGGTGAAGTGTGGCACGTCAGTCACAGGGGTCTAGTAAATAATTTCTTGAACGGATGTGTTGATAAAGGAGAGAAGGACTTTTTTGCTGGAAAAGTACTGCAGGGTGGGGAGAGCCGCTGCTGAGCCCTCTGCCCCAAGTGCGGGGGACCATGGGGGCTGAGCGTGAGCAGGCGTGGATGGCCTCAGGCTGAAGCAGGAGCACGGCGTGGGATCCCCTGGGGCCTGGGCCTGTGCCAGCAAGTGGCTTGTGCTCTAGTGGGGAAATGACTTCTGTTACACATGCAGAAAGTTCTGGTTCACAGGGGAAGGCAACTGGAGATTCCTAGCAGTGTGGTAGCCATTTGTTTTTCTTCTGGTTTCTTCCATCGGCTCTCAGCTATTCCTTTCCCTCATTTCTCCTTTCCTGGTCTCCTTTTCCTTCTTTTCTTCTTGAGCATCCTGGAGGAAAGCAGCTCGGTTACAGCAGCACATGTCTATCAAGCACCTTCAGGAATAAGTCCATGGTGCTTACCGGGCACTTCCTGCTAAGCTCTTTTCCCGTTCGGGGTCCCTGTGCAGTCTCCCCACAGCGCCCTGACCTATGGGAGGCAGGCCCAAGAGGGCCCGCTGCACGGCCTGTGCTTTAAAGCCAGGTCTGCACACTGGCCTGGGGGCTGGGGCAGTGCCCCTGCTTGTTATCAGCATCCGCACGCCCCTTCCCTCGGGTGTTCCTGCTTGCTGTCGGTGCTGTCCTCCTGGGCTGGGCCCTCCGAGCCTCCTTAGGCAGCTTCCTGTCCAGTTCTTCACCGCCGCCTCCCCCATCTTCTCCCCTTCCCTCTGGGGTGGCCCCGGTGGGATGTTTCCATCCACCTTTAAGCTGTTTATTTCACCTTTGTGTCCCCCTGGGCACCAGAAGCGACACGAATGGCAGTCTGCGTTTATCATGCACTTGCTCTGTGCCATGCTCGTGACAGCCCTGCCACGTGGGGCCTCCCAGAATCCCTCAAGGCATATGTGGTCACTGAGGTTCAGAGAGGCCCAGTAGCCCGTGGTGGTCATGTGGAGGCGGCACCTGCTGAGTTCCACGTACTTGGGAAATGGGGTGATGAGTGGAGCACACTCTCTGAACGCGTCAGTTCTGGGGCAGAGGTGTGATCAGTAGCTGAAGCGTGCTGGTTTCGAAGTCTGTTTGTGAGTGCAGACCGCCCGAGCACGAGCACGGGGAGCAGCTGCACCAAATGTATCACATTGTGAACATGGCGGTGTTGACCAGACTCATCTTGCCAGTTGTCAACAAGACATGGATCAGGTTAAAGAGAGTGTGAATTTCACACAGGACTCTCTGAAATTACACATGATCTACTTAAAAAGCATTTTTTCAATCAAATACGGGCTCCTAACAAACCCAACAGAAGTGTGCAGGGCGGGAAGTTTCCCTTTCTGTCTCACACTGGCCATGCTGCCCCGGGGCACTCGAGCCCTTTCTGGATTTCTCCTTCCCGAACATCTTAAAAAGATTTCATTTATTTATTTGACAGAGAGAGACACAGCGAGAGAGGGAACACAAGCAGGGGGAGTGGCAGAGGGAGAAGCAGGCTCACCGCAGAGCAGGGAGCGCGATGCGGGGCTTGATCCCAGGACCCTGGGATCATGACCTGAGCTGAGGGCAGACGCTTAACGACTGAGCCACCCAGGCGCCCCATTCCCGAACATCTTAAAAGTAGTAGAAGCAAATTTGCTACCTCCTGGTTTTCCAAATTAAAACAATGTTTTTAACTTACCAGCTCTATGCTAAACTCCAGCTCTTCCTCCAGCATCTCTAACAAGTTTTGTAAGTAAGTGATTCGTTTTCAGTGGTTGTCTTTGTGACTTTGAATGAGGAGACAAACCTGCTCACCTTTTGGATCCTCCACAGTGGCTCCCGTCATCCTTGGAGGAAGACCTCTGGCTGCTGGGTCTAACTCATGGTTTCTTTGCTCAGCCACCCACATGCCACATGCTTCGTAGCCTTTTGCTTTTTTTGTTTTGTTTTGTTTTTGTTTTTTTCCCTTTTTAGCCCCCTCTTAACAAATTGCACATGTTATTATCTTGTCCATCTTCCCTCTTCCCCCGAGAGAGAGATGTAGGTCTTGCTGTATGCAGTTTGCTGCTGTGACCTTAGTGCTGAAAGGATACAGTAGGTGCTTACTAAATATTTATTGAATGAACAAATGGGTTCTCCAGACCTGTCAACTTTTGTACTTTTGTCTGTGCTTTCTGACTTTCCACCTGGGAAGAGAAGGACCTGAGCACCCCTGTCTTTCCTTGAGCCTTACACCCCTCCTTTTGGGGGCTACACTTCTGCTCTCAGATTAGAGATTAATTCTAGAAGTTGGAAACCAGCTGTTCTGTTGGTTCTGTTCCCTGTTGGGCTGATCATGTTGCCAGGATTTCATTCATCCTCTGAGCGGGCCACCCAAAGGAGAACGCTCAAGGTCATGTCAAGGTCACGTGGGTCCTTTCTGTCGTTCTTGATTAAAATTTCGCCCTGTTTACTTTGCCTCATGTTTGGGCTATAACTTTGAATAATTTGCTTCTCCCCCTTTTCCCCCTGTGTTGTTTTTTGATATCCAAGGAACTTCACTTTTTTCACATCCTCTCAATCATTTCCTCTATTTGGTGGAGTTTTTTTCCCCTCCTGGATATTTCATTCTGGTTCTCTTTATCTTTCTTCTCTAATTAGGACTGGCAGCTGTCAAGGCCACCTCTTTAGCAGCTACCCTGGGACTTTATTGTTCTCCTGGGGGGATTGATTTATTACCCTGTGTTTTGGCTTGTTGTTTTACTGGAGTAATTTCTAAAGTAATGTCCCAAGAGACTAATTGCTTAAGCAATTTCAAAGAGAGGCATGTGGGAAATAAACTCTGACTCCTAGTGCATTGGAGAATGCCATTAATGTCTTCTCACACTTGACTGATAGTTTGGTTGGGTATAATATTTTAGTTTGAGACTTGTGATCACTGAGAACTTTTAAAGTACTGCTTCACCCTCTTCCAAGGAGTCCGATGCTATTGGGTTCTGACGCTACTGCAGATGACCTGTTTTGTTTGTTTGCTTGCTTTTCTCTAGAAGCATTTAGGATATTTTTTATAGCATTGTTTCTGGGGTCTTTTTTGTTCTTAATGTTGGACGTTTGGTGTCCTTCATTTTTAATTCTGAAAAATTTTCTTCTACTTCTTTGACAATTTCTTTTTATTTTCTCTTTTTTGTTTCTGGGATGCTTCTTACTTAACTCCTGTATGTTTAAATCTTTTTCTACGTAAAACAGGAATAATGGTATCTGTCTCAGAAGGTTGTCCTAAGGATTAAATGCGTTAATATGTATAAAGTGCTAGGCACACAGTAGGTGCTTTATAAATATTGGGTACTGTTACTCTTCGTTTAATCTGAACTGTTTCTTTACATCTCACCCTTTAAATATGTGTCTTTTTGCTCTGCATCCTGGGAGGTTTCCTCCACTCTACTTTCTAGTCTTTCCATTGAGTTTTAAAATTATAAGTACTCTATTTTTAACTTCTAAGAGCCCTTTCCTACTTTCTAATTATCCTTTTTAAAGTATTTTGTTTTTATTTGTTGGGCATATGTTGAATCTGAGGACATTGGCTCTAATTTGTTGTTGTTGTTTTCCTCAAGTTCTCATGTGGTCTCCAAATTATTCCTGTTTTTTTTTTTTTTTTTTTAAGATTTGAGAGAGAGATCGTGAGAGAGAGCAGAGCAGAGGGCAGGGGAAGAGGGAGAATCAGGCTCCCTGCTGGGCAGGGAGCCCCACGTGGGGCTTGATCCCAGGACCCCAGGATCATGACCTGAGCTAAAGGCAAGACGCTTAACCATCTGAGCCACCCAGGCGCCCCTGAATTATTCCTGTTTCTTTTTTTTCTTTTTTTTTTTAGATTTTATTTATTTATTTGACAGAGACACAGTGAGAGAGGGAACATAAGCAGGGTTCTCCCTGCAAAGTGGGGAGCCTGATGCAGAGCTCAATCCCAGGACCCTGGGATCATGACCTGAGCCGAAGGCAGATGCTTAACGACGGAGCCACCCAGGCGCCCCTGAATTATTCCTGTTTCTTTGGGCTCTCTCCTCCAGGTGGGAACTCTTACTGGGAGCTCTTTGTAAGGCAGGATGGGTTTTCTTGACCAGTAGGCTTCTGGTTAGGGAGTGGAGCCCCCAATTTCAAGATGAGGTCATCAGAAGAAAGTGATCTGTGATGGGAGAGGGTCAGTGTGGCTGGATCTAGGACCTGAGGCCAGGCTGGCAAGAGATGGGGCCGGTCATGACAAAGCACCTTGCAACACCCTTGAGGGACTTGAAGTTGGTCCTGAGGGCAGTGGGGAGCCATCAGGGGACATGGTCCGGTTCACAGTTCAGAATGATCATTACAGCTCAGGAGTGAGCCTGAGACAGAATAGCCAGCGAGGTGCTGGCCAGTAACACATGCGAGAGGCAGGGTGCCTGGGCTGGAGCAGAGGCACGGGCCGCCGGGGCGGTGGGTTATTACAGAGTGTTTTGGAGGTAGACGTGATAGCACTCGGTGACAGGTGAGCTTGGGAGACCAAGGAGTCAGGGTGACCTCAGGTCCTTGGGTGGGTCGTGGGCAGCCTGGGTCCTGAGCTGTGGGCTGCTGGGGAGGTGCAGGTTTAAGAGGGGCATGAGGAGGTGGCTTGGGGTCGGCTATATCTGAGCTTCCCATCCGGCCCCCGTGGGAGAATGTCTGAGGAGCAGAAGGAGACTGGCGGGAATAGAGATCTGCTGCTGACCTCACCTGGGCTACGTGGGTTTACTACCTGTTGACCCAGCCTGTTGTCCTGGAGGCAGGGCTGCTCCTTCCTTCTAGGTGGGCTGAGCATCAGACCGAGGGTGGTGACACAGAGGAAATCGGTGCCAGACTAGAGGCGTCCTCATGGCCTCTGTCATCACTCCAGCACCCGACACTGCCAGACGTGGACAGTGGCAGAGCGAATGAATGGATGCAGTCACCACTGCATTTGGCAGCAGTAATGATTTACACGGAGACCCTTATGTCAGGTGACAGTGTTCGGGGTGCTCAACAGAGGCAGCTGGGGCCACTGCTGGCCTCTAGGAGGCTGTGCTGTGTGCTGTGGCATGTCCGGGGGCTGTTTTGGGAGCCCCCTCCCCCCGACACCTGGTGGGGAAGCCAGTCCAGTTGAGTAAGCCTCATATACAGGTGGTGTGCAACGTCCTGCCCCCCAGAAGTGTCTCCTGTGGCAGGGCACGGGACTGGCTCCCTAGAGTGCCCAGCGAGCACACAGCTGGGGAGAGGATAGCCGGCTTCCGGCTGGACTTCGAAGGGAGAAGGGTGTTCGGCGTGGGAGGGTGGGATGGGATGGGAGGAGGGAGCCTTGGGTGAGCCTTGGGTGAGGTTGCCGGAGCCAAGGCCGGCTCATCCCCCTGCGGCTCATCCCTGCTCTGGTCCGCGAGGCCAGCAGGGCTCCTGAAGCCTGAGCCACGAGCCTGTCCCCTGCTCCCCTGGGGTTTGCAGGCTGGGGTCCCATGCAGGGCCTTCCAGCTCGCCCTGCCTCTGAGGGTCCCTAGTGATTCCAAACCTACCGTGTTGGCCAGTTTTGGGGGGTAGATGAGATTCATGAGGTATCTGACATACGATACTGGATGAGGTATTTGAGAGCTGGAAAGATTTTTTTAAAAAGAAAAACCTTACACTATTTTAATTTTTAAAGATTCTTTTCCATTATGTTCCATGCACTGTTTTCCAGCAGGTTCTGGCCCACTTAAGGATTATCTGACTGGTGCAGACATGTGCATAATGGTTTTTCACGATTGGCAGGATGCTTTCCTGTCTCCCACTAGGGATTGCCTCTGGAGAGGGAGGGGTGAAGGACCTGGGGAGCTGACCTGTACTGTTCTGATTTTTCTTAAAAGCGGGAGAACGGTATTTTCATGACAGCATGCCTGTCAAAACATTGAGGTTCATTCTGGAGGGTGTGGTTGCTGGAGGTCATTTTACTTGTACTTTGCTGTTCTTTTTAGTTTCAGCTTCCCCCCCCCCCCCCCCCCATCTCTGGGGTTAACAAGTCATTTGGGAATGCCTTTGTGAGGCGCTAAAGTGGAACCCCGGGGAGTCCCAGCGAAGACCCGCCGTCACCATCTCCCATTTCCCTGCTCCCCGCGTCGGTGTCCCTGCCGCCCAGCTGGGCCTCCGTTAGCGTGTTTGAGTGAGTAGCGGCCGGTGGCAGATACGGTCCTCCCTGTGCGGGCCGCTGGGGCCGCACAGGGCCTGGCACCTCACTGCCCTGATTCGGTTGAACTCATGCGGCCTGTGGCTGGCAGTGGCTTCTCTGTCCTAGCTCGTCTCACGTCCCTTCCTGTGCCTCTCTGCCGCCCTCCTTCTGTGGCGGGGTCACCTTTCTCCTGCTCTGCTCCTTCTATGCCCTGTGATGCTTCAAATTCCAGGGGAATCGACACTCCCAGGGGGATCTGGCCTCCTGAAAGGCCACAGTCCGGTGAGGCTGGCTGAGCCCCCGAAAAGTGCAGAGGGCCCGCTGCCGGCGGCTGGGCCTTCCAAGTGTGCAGGAAGCTGATGATGCATTTTCCCTTTCTTTTTAGTGTGCAAGGAGCCCCCTTACAAAGTGGAGGAGTCGGGTTACGCTGGCTTCATCATGCCCATCGAGGTGTACTTCAAAAACAAGGTAGGATCCTGGAATAGTCGCGCGGAGGACTCACCGTTCACAGAAGAGGAGGGGGAGCTGGGGCTGCCTGCGGGGTGGAGTGTTGGAGTCACTCGGAGCCGACATCCGAGTTACAGGCGCCGGTGCGTGAAGGCGGGGGCTGGGGAAGCGGCCTGCTGGGACGGCGGGTGGGAGTGCACGTGGATGTGGCCTTCTCGGGGAGCAGCCGGGCCACATCCCCGTCCAGTTGCCCTGAAGGTGTGTGTGGGCCCTGAGTCAGAAGTGACATGCCACGACAGGGCCAGATTCCACGGATGGTCTCAGGGGGCTAGTCACCGGCCGTGAGCAGTGGCCAAGATGCAGAAGTTACGTCAGCGTCCGACGGTAGGCGAGTGGTTCGATGTGTCTATGGTCCATCTATACAGAATTTTCGATGACCTGGGGGGGAGGTTTAATTGTCAAGTGAAAAAAGCAAGTTTATGTCTATTATTCATAGATAAAAGGAGTTAGGTTCATCAACATGTTAAAAGGGTAATCTGGGGGCTAGGGTTATAAGGGGTTTTTGTTTTATTTTCTTCCATGTGTGTTTTTTAAACACAACGAATATATATATTTACATATATTGTTTTATTCCGTCCAGGCTGCTGTAAGTAAATACCACAGACTGGGTGGCTTATAAACAACAGAGATTTATTGGCTGGAAGTCCATGATCAGGGCGGGTTGGGGAGGGCCCTCTCCCGGGTCACAGACTTCTTGCTGTGTCCTCACGTGGAGGAAGAGGCAGTGATGTGTGGGGTCTCTTTTATAAGAACAAGCATCCCATTCGTGAGGGCTCCACCCTCAGGACTTAATCACCTTCTGAGATCCCACTTCCTCCTTCTATCACCTCCGGGGGCTAGGACTCCACATAGGAATTGGGGGGGGGGACACATTCAGACCATAGCATTTTTTTTTTTTTTTTTTTAAAGCCCAGTGATTAAGATAAAAAAAGAGCCTTCCTGGCAGCCTGCCTTTGTTTCTCACAGGCGCCACCAAGAGGCCACGTGAGCTTTCCGGGCTCAGAGGTGTGCTTTTCCACAAGCACGGTTAGCCTGTCTGCAAGCAGCTCTGCCTTCCCTCAGGAGGGAGATCTCCCTGGGAGGCCAGCGGATGCCACCGCTTGCCTGTTGAGTCCCTTGTTTAGCCCTGGCTGTTCCGCACACCACCAGGGCATCAGGGGCCTCGGGGAACAGTGCTGAGGTGTGCTGACCCACTGGGAACCGAGTGCCACTTCGGCGGGTATGACTCAGTGGGAGTTGGCTGTGGGCCCTCTGGGGCCCAGGTCACAGAAGCCTGGGTCATCCCGAGGCTTTTGGGGGATCAGGACTCAAGAGGCCCGGGAAGTGGCCACTCTTGAGAGAAGAGGCCGAGCCTGTGTGCGCGGGCAAAGGCTCCATGTCTCTTCGGCAAAGGCTGAGGGGGGAGATGCGGGGGAGAGACTGCCCTGCTGGGGCTGGGCCCTGTGGTGGGCGGTGGGGCGGTCTTTGAAGTCCCGCCTAGGGGGGCCTCACTGCTCCAGGAGTGTGGAGGACGGGGCAGAGACGGTGGAGGGGGGGCGGATGCGGGGGTGAGTCTCGGGGCAGGTGTCTCTGGCCTCCCAGCTCCCGGGGGGCAGCCTGTGGCGGGGGAGGAGGATAGCAGCTTGCTGATGGCTGGGGGGACTGAGTCCGTCTGCAGAAAGCTCCCGGTATTCATGTGCACTGGTGTTCTGAGGGGCGGGGGCTGGGGGAGTCCTGTCGCCACTTAGAGCTCATCTCTGGGTTAACTAGAGTCATTCCTTTGAGGTTCAGAAGCAGTCTGGGGCCCCCCAGGCCAGCAAGGCTTTCGTGTTTCCTGTGACCTGTCTGCTGTCTGGTCCCTGACACCACGTGGGAGCTGTGTTTGCAACCACCTGGGCAGTGGTGGGGTGCCCGCTCAGCTTCCTGGTGCCCCCCAGGGGCCCGCCAGGAGCCTAGGGCTTAGCCCAGGGGAGGAAGTCCCACACAGAGGCTGTGCTTTGCTGCGTCAGCGGCACTGGCTCTTGGAGCCCTTTCTCCTGGCCCAGGGACCTTTGTTGCTCTCCAGGTTTTCTCTCGAAGCGTTGGCAAGAAGCAGGAGTGCTTGGTGCTTGCGCCTTAGCTGGCACCTTTCCTGTGGTGGCTTCTGAAGCCTCTGTTAGTGGTTGTCGTTGCCCAGGCCTCTCCCACCGGGTGGGGGATGCTGCTCGGTTCCGCTTACCCCCAGAAAAGGCACAGTGCTCTGGCAGCTGGGAGGGGGCTCGGGGTCCGTCCGGATCCTGTTCCAGCTTCTTGGCCGTGAGCCGAATGGAGCCTTCCGAAGGGCTTACCGTCTGGAGGACGGGTGGTGCTCAGCGTTGAACAGGGAGGCAGCAGCTCCGGCCCTCACTGCCTCACCCCTCATCAGGCCTGCAGAGCCTGCTGCTGGAAGCCCCGCTCAGGCTCTTGGGCCGCTTTCTGTCTGCCCTGGGAGCTGCAGGAGCCCTGGGCGCCCGTGAGGACTGCTCAGTTGGGGTTACCGATTACTATAGGACACAGAAGCATTTTTTTTTCTTTTTTCAGCTTCATTGAGGTGTAATTGACAAAATTTTTTAAGACATTTAAAGTGCACCACGTGATGATTTGGCAGATGCACACATTTGTGAGAGGATTTTCCCCATCGAGTTAACTAACACATCCATCACCTTACACACCTTTTTTTTTTTTTTTTGAGAATATTTAAGTTCTACTCTCAGCAAATTTCAATTAATGATAGTATTATCAGCTATGGTCCCCATGTTACACATCAGATCCTCAGACCTTATTTTACAACAACGTTTGCACCCTTTTACCAACCTCTGCTCACTTCCCCCACCCCCCAACTCCTGATAACTACTTTCTACTCTCTGCTTCTATGATTTTCTTATTTTTTTAGGTTCCACATGTAAGTGATACTATGTGGTATTTGTCTTTCTCTGTCTGGCTTATTTCACTTAGTGTAATCTCACTAGGTTCATCTACGAAGCATTTTCTTCTTCAAAATCCCAAGCCCATTGAGATTTCCCAAGTTCCAAATTCCAAGCCCAAACAATATTCCACTGTGTGTGTAGACATATACACACACACACTGGCCACATTTTCTTGATCTATTCATCCATCGTTGGACACTTAGGGTGCTTCACAGAAGCATTTTATTTAGTTTTGAAGCTGGAGCCATGCCCCCATGTCTTCAAGCCCCTCAAGACTGCTGGGGACTCTGAAGCCCAGAGAGGGTATCTCCTGCTCCAGCTTGCACAGCGGGTTGGCACAGAGCCAAGGTGGCCCAGTGTTGTCTCCCTTCTGGCACGTCCACTACTTGGGATTGCGTGAGGTTCACCTCGGATCGGCGGCAGATCATTTCAGTGATTAAGGACACTTGTCCCAGAGAAGAGCCTCTCCTCTCCCTTTTTATGTTTGGGTCTGCGTAAGAACTGCATGCTGGAGTGTCCCTCCAGGCTGAGTTGTTACCCTGTGCTTATGGAATCTCAGTCAGGCCATGTATCTGAAGGCGGCCAGGGAGCCCTTGGAGGGAGAATCGAGCGCCTGGCCTTTGTAGTCCCCTGACTTGGCAGGTGGCTTTGTGGGGCTGGCTTCGTGTTGGAGGATGTTGAGGCAGGCCATGGTTGGTTCTGTTTGTTCAGTACCCCCTTCTCAGCCTTTTGCAGTGGGGGAGAGCTAGGCCAGCCACATGCAGAAGCCCCGGGTGTTACAAAATCCAGATTGAGCAGGTGCAACCTGCCCACCCCCGTAGGAGCCCCAGGAAAGGTCTCCACCATGGGTCACTGCATCTGCCTGCCGCGTCCTGTACTGCTCCCCTGAGCCTTGCATCCGGACTTCCTTTACTGAGTTCCCAAGGTTCCACCCCTCTGTCCTGCCCCTGGTGGGAACAAAGGGAATTCCGGGTGACCCTTTGGCCATAGGATGTGTCTCTCCTGGGCACAGCACCCTCACTTCCACTGGGACATCGAGGAAGCAGAGAGAATCCCTCTGAGGGTGTCCTGAATCCTTGTGTGCTCTTTCAGGATCCTTGGGCTTTCTTATTGGGCGTAAGCAGGTGTGTGTGTATGAGTATGTCTCTCTCTCTCTCTCTCTCTCTCTTTCTCTCTCTCTCTCTCTCTCTCTCTCTCTCACAAGGGCAGGGCAGGACCCTGGGCTCCTTAAGCCTCTAGTCCCAGCTCCTCTTCCAGGCCCCAGCATGCCGCCACTTCCCTGGGTGCCCCTTTAGAGGGCGCACGTGTGCAGCTCACCGCCCCTGTGTGTCCAAGCCATCCAGGGTGGCTTCTGGTTCAATTTAAAGAGTTTTTGTTCGAGTCTGGTTTCTCGAGGCAGAATTTACTTAACTATGATTCTTTCATTTTTAGGTATTGTAGGTTTTTGAAATTTTGGCTTGTGTTTATTTGAAATCTGTTGGGGTGCGGCTGTTTTTTCTGTTAAAAAAAAAGAAAAGGAAGGTCCTGTTCCTAGGCATAGACTTGTCTGACCGATTCCTGCCGAGGCCTGTGTGCCTGGGGCAGGAGTGCCGCTGTGAGCCTGTTCTCAGAACTGCAGCATGTTCTTGCTCAGGACCCACGCTGGCCACCTCTGTTCCTGGAGGTGGTTTTGCCCCCAGAGCTCTAGAGGGCGGCCCTGAACTGGGAGAACTCAGGAAACGAGGCCCACTGTGGGAGGGGCCTGGGATGCAGGTCCAGTCACAGGTCCTGTGGGGTGTGCGCACTGGGCCAGGTGCTCTGCTAAGCAGCTACCTACTGAGCCTCCAGACGAGGCCTGGAGGAAGGTGATCTCCCCAGTCTGTGGATGAAGGAGCTCCTGGTTACCCAGTCACTTGGTGAAGGCCACGCGGTCACAGGAGCCTGTGATTGTACGTGTACACCTGTTGCCTAAACACCTGAGACAGGCATGACCCAGGGCGTCCGCTGCTCACAAATCCTGGTGTTGGCTTACATCTGGGTGACAGGGATAGTGTTTTA